CATTCGGAAACAAAACAGATTTTCTCAAAAACTGTAATATAATACTATAATATAATATATATAATACTGTAATACCCCTGTAATTATATTACAGTTTTTGAGAAAATCTGTTTTGAATTTATATAATTTAATCAATTATTGATGAATTTATTAATTTAATCATATATTATTATATATATTATATTATAGTATTATATTACAGTTTTTAAGAAAATCTGTTTTGAATTTCCGAACGTGAAGGCGTCTTCATTAGTAATAATTGCACAGAGACCTAATTTTACATATATACTATATATATAATATATATAATAATATATGATATACAATAATATATAATATATAATAATATAAAAATAATATAATTATTGTACAATGTCATTGTACCTATAAAGTGCAATTTTAATGTCCTCGCACTGTCCTTTTCACATGCTTTCAGATGAAAGCCATACTCGACAATATGCAAACGGACTATGCAGCCCTGAAAAATCCTGTCGAATTGGAGATTTTCTTGGAAGATTCGATAGTAGCAAAGCGTATTGTCCAAGCATATTTCGGTAATGAGTATAATAATGTTGCTTCCACATATGCACTCGCACGTACATCCTTAGGATTAAAGTTTTTATAGTTATCGACAATCGGTAACTACAAAAAACGATCCCCAAGGCTCGAGTAATCGTATCTCCCCTTCCCTAATTGTCCATTTTTGTGCGCAATCTGAGCGTCAATTAGGGAGAATTTACTGTAAGCATCGTCGTCACGCGAGTGCAAAGGGTTAATTAGTGAAAATGATTTCTACACAAACGAACATGATCCTCTGAAGTAGCAACTACACTAATGCAACATAATTGCGGGTTCTAGCTATGGTGTGTACAGGGGGATTGTGCCTGGTTGCAACATTAGGAGTAGCTACATTCCTGGATAACGATACGCAGCTTCATTTCTTAAACCTCTTGGGATTCTTTTACACCGAAAGAAGTTCGCAGAGTGCTTTTTCTTGCTGGCACATAATAATAACAACGTCGTACGGCTTATTAGCGTTGACCTGTACGGAAGGGTCAATTACCGTTTTCGCCACCTACATAAGCGGAATGCTGAAAATCGCCACGTACGTTGCAATGAAGTTTTCAACTTCGTTTTAACCTCCAAGATTTATTCGTCTCGGTCATCTTTGCCATAATGATCTATTTGAATATCTAAGAATGAATATAATAAGAATATATATATAATAAGCTTCCTGTAAACCAGTGCTCGGAACGCTTCGGAACGCAACATTGGGCTCCGCCTCCTGACTACCGCCGCAGCGTCTCGCTCCCCACTCCGCTGCAGCCGACGGAAGCATCGCGGGGAGCGAGGCGCTGCGGCGGTAGCCTGAAGGCGGAGCCCAACGTTGCGTTCCGAAGTGTTCCGAGCACTGCTGTAAACGATCAACTATAAGAACAACTGTATTACATTTACGTTGATTGTGCGACGAACTTTGTTCGCTCGAACAATCGATTAGTTATTTTAACAGCGCCCGCATATTTTTCTGCCTTCAGTTACCGAATGCAAAATGCGGTGAACACAGTGGCGAACTCAAAGTCAACGAAAATAATAGACATACGATCGGCTGCGGAAATGCACCGTCGCGCTATTCTGTGGGTACCTTCATCCAAACGTTATTCAGATATTATTGTTACACATGTTTCACTATACTTATGTCACGTGTTTCGTTCGTTCTATGCCTTTCGATGATCTACGTACCGGAACATTATGTATTCTCGCACAAAGCTACGTAAAAATGTTCACGGACGATATGCTGGCAACATGTTTATTTCTAACCATAATAGTTATTATCGCGTTCGGTGTAAATGTTTACCGGGTGAGTATTGTTAATATAAAAAAGTAGGATTTGGATGTCAATCGTACGATGCTTTCGTCGTTCTGTCGAAAGAAACGTAACGAGACTGCTTTTCACAGTTTTTTATAAGCATCACCGAGTCAAATGATCGAGATGCTGTGCTGCTTAGTATTCACTTTGTCGTGGCATACACTACGTTTATATGCGGAAACAATTATAGCGGGCAACTAGTGCTGGACAGTAGTTACAACCTTTTCCAAGAAACGTAAGTTCATATCTTTTTTCTACTTAAAATGCGATCCGCGATCTCAATGAATACGGTGGCGCACGGTTAAATTTACATTGATGCGGGAGCCAGTGTGTAAATTTAAATGTACGGAATATAAAAAAAAAATAAAAAATGTGAAACTGGTTATTTGACCAGCAGCGGTAGGTTTACTGTTAAAAAAAGATATTTAAGGACATCTATGTACAGTAAATTCTCCCTAATCGAAGCTCAATTTGGGAACAAAAATGGACAATTCGGAAAGTAGAGGAAAACGATTATCCCAGCCTTACGGCTTGTTTGCATAGTTCTTGACAATCGGTAACTATAAAAACGAGCCGCGAGGCTCGAATAATCGCATCACCTTTTCTCAAATTTCATCTATTCTATATTATCTATTATATATTATCTATTCTATATTATCTTATATTATTATTATCTTATTATTATCTTATATTATTTATATTATCTTATCTATTCTATATTATATAATTTCCGTCTATTTTTGTGTACAAGCTGAGCGTCAATTAGGAAGAATTTACTNGGTAACTATAAAAACGAGCCGCGAGGCTCGAATAATCGCATCACCTTTTCTCAAATTTCATCTATTCTATATTATCTATTATATATTATCTATTCTATATTATCTTATATTATTATTATCTTATTATTATCTTATATTATTTATATTATCTTATCTATTCTATATTATATAATTTCCGTCTATTTTTGTGTACAAGCTGAGCGTCAATTAGGAAGAATTTACTGTAACATTTTCGACTCACCGAAATTATGAAGGAAAGAAATTTGTATTTGACTTATGTTTGTTTGCGATCGATGACGATCAGTTTTATTTTAACGATGATACTGTTAAGATGTCGATAAGTTGAGTACAGACTGTCGAACCGAGTAACACAGTAACAATGATAAATATTAAACGATGCTCGGTTCTAATGTGGTAAACAAATGCGACGAGGCAATAACGAACCGACGATGTTGAATGATCAGATACAATTCATTATGGTACCGTATACCGACGAAGATGCAAAAGCTCGTGTTGTTCTCGATGATGAGAAGTCAGACGGAAATAGCGATTAATTTTGTTGGCTTATTCACCCCGTGTTACGAAGGCTTTACGATGGTAAGTGGCCCCAGTACTATCGTTACACAAAACAACAGAACATCGCAGCTACAACAAGCTTTTGTTTCAGATGATGAGCTCGTCCTTTTCCTATTTCACTCTGCTCTGTTCGGTGTAGTAGAACATTTGGGAACAATTGTCGCGACACTAGTATCCGCGTAAGGTCAGCTCGCAAAAGCAATGTGCATCACAAGTGACAGACTTGCAAGCTCCAAACTGTGCTTTCGATTAATCGTACTACGCTTATCGTGGCATGTTTTCAGCCATTAGCGATTCCAGCTTCGCGTAATTAGCGCAACCCGGTGCGCACTTGCCTAGGTATATTCTAAATATTGAAGGCAATATATTATCAATGTATTGAAATGTTTTATTATTAAAATATTAAAATATTAATAGGCAATAGCGAGCAATATGGAAGAGTATAATAAACAATAAAGAAGTAACGAATTCTACGACCATTATCAGCCACAGCGAAGAATGTTTGAACGGAGCTTGATTGGTTTCTGTATATATAATCTGACTTTAATTTTTCAAGTAAACAACGAAAGTGAACAACCACAATCGAACATACTAAAACGAAGTTACCAATCTGAAAATCGTAAAATCAGTGTATTTTATTGCACAACCAAGATGCTCAGTGTCACTTGGTGCATATTGAGAGTGCACAGTTAGTTTTTTCGTTTCTAATTTATTGTTACATTTATTCTACAATAAATATCTATATTGCTATGAGTTTTTCGTAGAAACTCGTTCGTTTTTTTGTGGTCAACTCTCAAGCGGAACTTCTTACCCCGTCGGGAGGGGTGGGGGGAGGGGGCAAGTTGTTAACTGGGGTAAGTTGTTACTAAGAAATAAATGTTATTTGCTAATTAGGTATTTCATTCTCTGATGAAATAAAACACAATTTCGTTAGTGAAGTTTCTTTATTAACTTCGGATTAATAAAAATATATACATATATTTGAAAGAAGAAAATATACTATCGTTGGCACTAACATTGTTGGCACTAACAATAGACGATATTAACATTAAATAATTGAATTAGTGAAAAAATATAGTGACTGCGAGATATAGTGACTGTTTCGGCTCTGTCTACATGAAATTGGGGAAGATCTTCCAAGAGGCTACGTGACTTCTCCTGCATTTCTTAATCAGTCTCGCCAACTAAGCTCTCGTCGAGGAATTTCATGGGAACTCTCCCTCTCTCTCCCTCTCCCTCTGTCACGCTTTCTCTCTCTCTCCCTCTCTCTCTCTCGCTTCCTCTCTCTCTTTCTCTCTCGCTTTCTCTCTCTCTTGCTTTCTCTCTCTCCCCCCTCCCTCTCTCTCTCTCTCTCTCTCTCTCTCTCCCTATCTCTCTATCTCTCTTTCGTTATCTCTCTACCAATTCTAAGCTATTCCACCTGGATAAAAATTTACATAATCAATAAAATATACAACTATGACCATAACGCAATCAACAGCGTTACATTTTATATTCGAATTTCCCTCTTGTCGCCATTTCTCGGAGATTATAGTACGGCAGCGCCATCGTAAATCGTTCTTATGCTCGCGTGGTCACGCAACACTGAATTAGGGTCTATCTTTTTCTGAAAAACTGATTACATATTAGCAGCAACTGCTGCTGCTGCCTCCAGACACAGTAAATTCTCCCTAATTGACCCTCAGCTTGTGCACAAAAATGGACAATTTGGGAAGAGGAGATACGATTATTCGTATCCCTTCCAAGATTGTCTATTTTTGTTCCAAGCTGAGGAGAATAGAGAATTAAAGAAAATTTACTGTATATATGTAAGAGAATTTACTATTTAAATTGCTGATCATGCATTGCTCGTGACGCTTTTGTAGCGAAGTTCAAGCGATTGCGCACAATCAGAACGGGTTAAGGAGTTAACGGGTTGGTGTCACTGGAATGGAAAAACTTAACCTAGTCATTCTATAATATGTAATATATGAAAATTACAATTGTCTAATTCACTGTTACATGTACAATAAATTCTTATGTGCAGTTATGTAACATACGTACTTACTAATTCTACTTAGAAAACGGAGTATAATGGAAAATTTATGTCATGATTTAATACTCCTGTTTTCTGTTAGAAGGTTATGATGGGAAACTTCCAAACGTTTGTCACTCGACCAATTCGTGCGTTCAATATCGAAAATCGAACAAGAAGATTACTTGCGAAGGAAAAACTAACTCCGGCGCCTCAACATGCTTCAGTGGGTAAACAAAAGGAATTGGTAGATAAAAGTAAGTAGTTCCTTGATTACTATATATATATATATATAAACATGTGTAAGGATTAAGGATTTAGAATGAAATCAATTTGAATTCATACTTGAATGTATTGAATCCATTACTCACGATTATAATTCTCTGTTTACGCGTTAAGAAGCTCTCATTTCTATGTTGCAGTTACGCTTAGTACAATAGTATTTATATTAGTTATTAATAAGAATAAGTAGTGTCTATTATTAATGTTTCTACATGAGCAGTTCCTTGATTACTATATATATAAACATGCGTAAGGGTTAAGTATTTAGAGTGAAATCAATTTTAATTCATACAATAATTTAATTCATACGTGAATGTATTGAATCCATTACTCATGATTATAATTCTATGTTTACGCGTTAAGAAGCTCTCATTTCTATGTTGCAGTTACGCTTAGTACAATAGTATTTTTATTAGTTATTAATAAAAATAAGTAGTGTCTATTATTAATGTTTCTACATGAGCATATTGTTTTTGTCTATGATAAAACACAAAAAATTATACATTACATTAATGTACTACTTTTTAAAAAAAAAAGTTATCTCCAAAAATTTATGTACACGAGTAGTTTTTAACTTACGTTATATTAATTTAATAAATTGTATTTAATATTTAGCTTCTCCAGTGTACATTGTACTAAAACAAGTCTTTTTATCTCAGTGTGTCCAAACTTCATGGAAGAGCATTACAAAAAGAATACGCAACTAGATGATCGCTTGAAGAATATTTATGTGAAGTCCACCGATCCTATGGTATCCGCTGTTTTTATACTTGCTTATTTTATTAATTTCTAAGTAATGTAATAAAAAAGGCTAAAACAAATATTTTACACGTCTCCAGCAGGAAACAGAGGAAGCAATAAAGTCAATAAGACCATTGCCACAAGAACGTGGTATACAGGAATATGACTTCAGTTATTATGATTCGGACAATGTTCCTGAAGGTAAATGTTCTTTGAATCAGGTTCTGACATTTTTGAAAAACCACTCCGACAACCCTGACGTATACACTGCAGACAAAATAGCTGCTGAATATAAACTAGATAAAGATGTTGTAGGTACGTAATAGTAGATATAATGGAAAGTTACTGTATTATACCACAGATTTGTTTGCAAGATCTGTTTCTCACATTATATTATGTTTTTCAGAAAGTATACTAATACATTTTCAAGTCCCTCATCTTAGAGTTAAGACTCTACAAATAGATAGTAATCCTATAGTTGAACTTATAGAAAAAGAATAGTTTCTAAAATAGTTTATGTATTCTTTCTTGCAAACGTTGTACAGACATTTAGATGTAGTAATTATTTGGAATTAATTTGTAATTCCGAATTATTAACCAATTTATGATTCTGAATAATTATCCTAAATATCTATACATAAATAAAAGGATGATTTAATATATTTTGAAAATTCATTCATTTAAATTCATATTTTCATATGAAAGAAAGAAGTCCTGCAATTTTGGCTCAAGTGTTGAAATGTAATCTGTACAAGCTAAGTCAGCTGGCTTTTATTCAATATAGTACATTTGATGAACTTATAGAAATTAATATGATCCAATGTTTTACTGGTCAGGGAGGAGGTAATATACAAGTATGCCTACTCTATATTTTTATGTTGTACAATAAATTACATACATGTATTTACAAAAATGTATAATCGATCAAGCGATCATACGTTGTTTCTATTATCATCCTCTTTTCTACATTTTCTAGCACTCAAACCTTTTAATATTTCTCTATCAATTCTATTCAATTATAATTTGTTACAATTACGATTCTAAATACAACTTCTACTTTAGACTAAAGTGCTTATTTTACTATAGTCACAGATGCGCATGTACATCCGATAAGTATCAAATACTGGAGACAAAATTTTTGGACATTTTGCAAATATTTATTGCATTATCTCTAATCAAGGTAATGAAATTTGATGAATATAAATACTTCTTCCTCACAAGTACGTTTTAAAATCTGTTCAAGTTGAAGTAATAAATCCATTGTTTTTCTTGAATATTTGAAATTTATCAGATGAACATAGACTTTTGTGATTAATAATAAGTGTATATTGCTTAGGGTTTTTCAACAGAAACTACTAGTTGTTTTCAAAATATGTTTGTTAGAACAAGTAACAATATACTTTTAGTTATTGCGTTTATCTGTTTATGGAGAGATTTCTGTCTCTGTGCTTTTATAATTCAATAAATACGAAAATTAAAGCGTTAAACCACAAGCGACTCCGTGAAAATCAGTGACTACAAAATTTCGAACAACATAAGCAATTAAAGAACTAAAAATACATTACAGGTAAAGATATGATCATATTTTTTTAACTTTTGGTTATGCTTGTTTTTGCTTATTTAATGATAACAAAAACTGGTAGTTCTATCAAAAAAAACCCTGTATAATAGAAATTTCCAACTTTTAATATAAAACAAATAACCAGCACCAGCGTCGAGAAACAGTTCCCTGTCTATACATTTGTTTAAATACGATATAACAAATATAATCAATGTACTATATAAATAAGCTTACATTTAATCTGTTTATTATCACTCACTTTGTAAACTCTAAGAACTTCTTTTCCTTTAGTTAACTCCATATATTTGAAAGACCTGAAAGATAGAGGAAACGTTTGAAACAACAACGTACGTTAAAAATGGCGATACGATAAAACTTCGATAACTCGAAAAGTTCGAGTTATCGAGATTCTACTATATTCCGATTTATCTGTTTACTTACCGAGTAGAACGTGGCAAATAAGGATCACGAAAATTAAGACATGGAATTGTTTAAATGTGGAAGACGGCGAGCTGGAGAAGCCGAAAAATAACCCTTCATCGACCGGACTCAATTCCGGAATGGCTGCCGTTTTCCTCAGTAGCCAATCGAAAGCGTTCATTTTGAGCCTTCTCTTTAGCTCCGAGCCGACCTCGTTTCGAATTCGACGGTTGTAATTATTCAGCCAACGTCTCTACACGAATATGATTTCTCAATTAGAGGAATATAATTCATTCCATTTCTATAATAATGCGATGACTTTTCATTTTCATTTTCTAATACAGTACATTCTCCCTAAATTGACCCTCTGCTTGGAAAAAAAGTGGACAATTTGGGGAGAATTTACTGTATTTACATTAGCGCGAAAGATTCATACTTATTATTGCAAAACTTTGGTTTTAATAATAATAATAATAATAATACTGTGTTTAAAAAGTAGAATATTGTGATTGTCTAGGCAAATGCACTTTGGTGCATCAAAATGTAAATTGTGCATTTTATTTCACAGTTTTCGAGCGTCTACAATTAGCTAAATATTTATTTGCCACGAATTATAAGAACTCACGTGAGAAGGGTTCAGCATGCTGACGTCGATCAGCTTTGGCTCGTACGGAACCAGCGTTACATCTCTGAATTTCAGAAAGGTATCCGCGTCTCCCTGCATAAATGTACTAACGATGATCACGCGGATTTAGATAATTAGTAATCTGTTCGCGTAAAATTGGTTACCGATGCACTCGCTTCTACGACCTCGAGAACGTTCTCCAAACGCACACCAAAGTCCCCTTCTTTGTAGTATCCTGGTTCATTAGTCAGGAAGAACCCTGGTTGCAATTCGACTGGTCCACACGTTGTGTCTGATGTGGCCACTTGCAAGTAGGATATACTAATAGGTGCTGAAAATACGAGAAATAGTACAATTACTAAAACTTATATTAAGTTTTTATTATATTTAAACTAATATACTATGTACTATACACTAATACTACTACTACTATATACTAATATACTATATTAATATACTATATTATTATTTATATACTATATATTTATAGTATATATTATAGTTTATATAGTATATTTATAGTTCATATTATATATTATATATTACATTACTATTTATACCCTATTATGTATTTATTATTATACTATTGGGTTGGCAACTAAGTAATTGCCGATTTGTTCAATGAAATAAAAAATTTTTTTTTACTTGGAATGAAGTTTAATCTGTAATGTACTTTTCATTTTGTTCGATGACCTTTTGCCATCTCTCTGACAACTTGAAAATTCCACGCTCGTAGAAAGTCTGATCCTTTTCGGCCAAAAACTGAGTTAAGTGAGATTTTACAGCGTCATCATCGTTAAAAGTTTTACCACGAAGGGAGTTGTCCAGGGATCGAAATAAGTGGTAATCCGATGGCGCGAGATCAGGGCTATATGGTGGGTGTAACATCGATTCCCAACCAATATCCATCAATTTTTGCCGAGTGGACAAAGAGACGTGTGCGGCCTAGCATTGTCCTGCTGGAAAATGACACCTTTACGATTGTTGGA